ATCGCATCTTCAAAATCCCTTTGTACTTGAACGTGTCACAAATCTCAAGAAAACTCACCAAATGATCATTTAGGTCGTCGTTAGGCAAGCCCCTAAATTGCACTGAATTCTGAATCATTTAGATGGTACCCGACTTGATCTCAAAACTGTTTGCTTGAATTATGGGCCTTTGAATTCTCGATTGAATTTTCATAACAAACGGCATACCATAATCCCTTAACGATTTATGTTCATCTTCAGCCATAACTTCTTAATTCTTTGCTTCTTGACACTGATTTCGCAAGTTTCAGAGCCTTTTTTCGATTTCATCTTCGTACGGTAGTGACTCTTGACCTGTAGATCGTGTTTGCATGCAAAATTCAAGAGTGCTTGCGAAAATAATTAAAATAGAAAAATAAATAAGTTTAAACTAAGATCAAATTGATTGAAATTAATATTGAAATAATTACTTGAATAAATATCCGACAACGGCGCCAAAAACTTGTTATTCGAATTTGATATTGACAATTTACGTACAAGTATACACGATCAACAAGTAATAAAGTGATAAGTAGAGTATCGTTCCCACGGAGAATTATTGCTAATAATATCTAAGTACTAACTTTGTATCAATTCAATTTTATTTAAACAATTGGAATTGACTAAGAATTCACTAATTTAAAATGAAATCTAAACTTTAATAATCAAAGGTTGAATTTACCGGACAAAAGAACTTAAGATTACAACTTTTCCTAATGCTTCGTATAAATCTTTCTAACTCTTTTTCCAGTCAATTAATCAAAATAAGTTGTTAACGGAGAACTCAAAGTTATTTATCAAACCTCTTCCGATAGTTAGATAAAATTATTTATCTCCATTAAATCACTATATTCTTATGCAAAATAATTTAGAATAGATTCATTAAGTTCAAACTCTCATAAAAGTTACATACGACATATAGGTATATTTTTATCCTATACACAAACCCAACAATTCAATCCTAAGAAGAATTAACCAGACACATGTCATCATATTCAGATCTATACCTAGAATTCATCTCCCAATTTCATCTAGGGATCAAATTAATTGTTGGCCACACAATCATATATTAAGCACAAAATATGACAAACAACTCATATATGATCAATAGAACTAGAAACGAGAGTAGATCAATTTAACTCAACATCAGACTTCGTTGCAATCTTCATAAAGATTTAATTCATAATGTAATTGAAAAATATCATTATCAAATTAAACAACATCTTCGAAAATCAAGAAGTAAAAGTAAGAGAAAAGAATGAAAACTTAGTCGTAATCTTCACTTTCTCTCTAGCCTTCGATTTGTTTTTTTCTTCGTGTGGCTTCCTTCGATCCTTGGCTTCACTTTTCTTTCAATCCCTTGGTTTTTTCATTGTTAACAGCCCCCAAAATCAGAATATCCAAGTCCTAACTCAAACCCCAGTATATATGCATCATTAGGATTCAATTTCGGGTCAAAAATAAGTTATAATTTGCGTCCAGAGCCAACACAAGTGCCTAAGCGCTGAATGGAGAGTAATTGGGCGCAGGGGCACTGAAAAGGCGTCGGGTCTGCGCTGGCCCTTTTTTAAGCTTTCAGCTCCCTTGTTGCGTAGCCTTCAAAATTTCAATACTTAAGCTCTAAATTGACCTTGTTTCCTTCCAAATGATCTTGTTTCCTTCCAAATGATGATTTCTACCAAATATCATCAAAACACAAAAAAAAAATAAAAAAGAACATAAAATAATTGAAAGCTTACAAATTCATCAAGCCGAAAGTACTCATTTTGTAGGTATAAAACTCACTCATTATCCATACTCATCCAAGATCGCCATATCGATGTCGAAGTGGAGGGTCCCTCTGACAGCCAAGATCATGTTCGGAGAGTGGATGATGGAGTCAAACTACAGGACGGTTTCCCCCATTCTTGTGATGGCTCAGGGGGCCCATTCGGAAGGACCAGAGGGCTCGGGACATCATGACATTGTTTGACTCAGCGCTCAATGGTTGGGTCAGCCTCCCTTCCACGGCGGTGTCTATGCTGATCGTCACTTCGTTTCGAGGGCTTACCTTGGTGCCTTCGACGCTGATGTTGAATCCTCGAGGGGATTCTTGTTGTTGTTGTTGCTGCTGTTGTTGCTATTGTCAGGGCTCCTGTTGTCACAATGGAGGAGCAGGCAAGGGCTCGATGATCGGCGTGGTGTTAGTGCGGCCACTAGGCCCCAAGATTAGGGCCCTCCTGGGCGCGGAGGCTGCCTCCAAAATTTCTACAGTGATGGAGAACATCTCGGCTGTGGGAGTGGATTCGAAGTCACAGTCGAGGTCTTCCTCGAGGTTTTCCTATTCTTTCTCTTCCTCAGAAGAATGATCCACCCAGATGGAAGGATCGAAGGGTGGGGGGATCTTGGAGAATCTGGTGTATCTGGGGTTGTATCCAAGTAGGACGTGTGCTGCCTGAGCAAAGGGGTCGTCGGGGTTGTGAGACCAGACCTTGATCAAGTCGTCAAAGGCCACAGAAGCTTTTGGGAGTTGAGCGACATCCTTTTTGTATCCCTTTACAAAGAAAAATACATGGTTAGAAACAGAAATAATGGCTGAGGGGTGATGAAATTGGTGAAAGGCCTACCTGGATCCCTCGGTACTTTGGAGCAGAAAAGACCATCATACTCGAATCCTTCACCCATCTTCCATCTATTGCCTAGCATGCTGAAATCCCGAGTGCACCCCTTGTTTGAGCCAAGCATGTGTGTCACCAAGTACATAAAGGGGTCCTGTGCTTGTAAGTAGTATCTGTCGCCACTGACTAATTTCAAGTTGTAGCAAAAAATTATCTCATCCACCTCGAGGTTCACTCCCAGCCGAGCATTCAGGGAAAATACGCCCATTACTATCCTAAAAAAGCTAATGCAGCATTGGAGTGGGAAGAGCCTCAGGAGCATGAGGACTCTTAGTAGTAGGGTAATAGGGGAGGAAGTGGAAACCTAAACCCTCCCTCCATGATGGCTATAGTGTGAAAGGGCATAAGTTCTACACTGCCCACGTCTACCCTATGAAATTGGGGGTTGAAAACAAATGTGAAGACAGGCTCGGGAATGTTGTAGGTGGCTCTAAAAGCCTCTATGTTAGTATTAGTCGCCTGGGTTCTTCTTAACTTGCCTGTATCGCTAGGCCTAACAGACTCCCATAGGACTCTAGTTGTTCTTATGTTGGCCATTGGGGATTTCTTTAAAGAAGTAGAAGAGAATGGAAGAAAAGAATAAGAAAGTATGGGAGGGGAATACTTTCAGTTTAGTGTCTTCTAGAGATTTGCTCGGGAGAAGAGTGAAGAGTTACTCAGGAGATGAGTACAGATTGAGAATTCGAAGATCCAAGGAATCTTGAATGAGCCACAAACTCCTATATTTATACTAACTATGACATGGATGGGAATCGAAGACGCAAGCCATAAATTGGAAATTTGAAAATTTGGCGCTAGACGTGTGGGTAAACCGCCCCTAATTTCTAGATGTGTTGAGGAAGCCTCCATTCTCCATGCGCCACCTGTCCCATGACACAAGGAAAATGTAGGTTGGGGAGTAGTTGACGGGACTTTAGACAGCTCAACGGTAATAAATGGACATGTGGACCGTTGCAATTGTTAAAGAGCACAAAGGGCGCCTGGAGAAACACCGAGGAGTTATAACCTAGAGGGCTGAGTGCACCCCTCAGAGCCTAGCATTAAAAGGGATCTGACAACTCATTAATGGGGTTTTGAGTGGCTGTGAGAGTCATTAATGAGCATCCAGGTCCAACAAAAATGTGAAGACAATCATCCTTATAAGGCATTAATTACCATTACGCTGACTTGATGTCTCGATGAACCTCGAGGGTGCTTATTCCCAAGCAGTGAATGCTCGAGTGTAGGTGGTTGGGCCATGAAGCTCTAAGCAAAGGTATTTAATAACCGAGTGTTGGGCCATGAATACTGAGTGATTCTCGAGCAAGGGTCCACTCGCCCGAAGGGATTAGTCCTGAGGAGATTTGATGGGATGACACTCATTATGATTAGATATGAGTGCAGACCATTAAATTTTGAGATGGAACTCAAAGATCCTTCCATCATTGCAAGCTTAGGTATAAATACCCCTCAGAAAGCTGGACTAAGGTATGCAATTCAAATCTAGAAAATACATTGTACTTATAACTCCAATGCCGACTGACTTGAGCTTTGAAGGGGAATAGTTGGGTGTACACCCGACCCCTTTCTAATCCCTCAATTGTTTTATGTTCATCATTCAACGGATCACTATCTCAACTCATTACAGGAAATCAGTCGTGCAGAGATAATGAGTATTTCTTTCATTCGTTTTGTCCTAGTTGTTGTAATTTTTGTTGGAGCAACGTAGAAAGTGGGCTAATGTCATAAACATAGGATGACAATTTTTTAATGAAGAAAAAAGCATCTTTGTCTCGTGTCTTTAGATTTATAGTTACAATGGGTGATGGTGGGTAGCAGTAATGTTGGTGGTGGTGCTAGTGGTGGGGGTGACGGTGTTGGTTGGAGATGAGTGGCGACGGCAATGGGCAACGATGGTGGTCCTGGGTGACGGTGGTGGATAGCGTGGTGGGTGGTGGTGTTGGTAGGTTTTTAGCGATAAGTTGACAATGATGAGTAATAGTGATAGTGGTGGTAGCAGTGGGCGGTGGTTGTGGTGAGTGGGGGTGGTGGACAGTGGTGGTGGAGGAGGTGGGTGGTGTTGGTTGCTGGTGGCGGTGGTGGTGGGATGATGATGAAAGTAATATGGTGGTGGGATGATGATGATAGTAATAATTAATATAAGACTGAGATAATGATATATGTTTTTAAATAACCTCATTTATTAAGAATATTTTTGTCAATTGTTGATTTTATGGACATTTGGCCTTAGAAATGTTGAGAATGAACCTAAAGCCAAAAAAATTCCTAACTTTGTACCTCTTGCCAAATCTTTCTTTTTTTTTTTTTTTTCTCAAATTAAACATTCCACATTTCACTCCATAAAAGGTTATACGTTCCACAGAAAACACAAACTTTACAGGGTTACAACATAAATTTATAACATGAGAATAGATTTGATACCAAACCGTTGATGTGAATCCAAGAGTCAATTAAAGGCAGACAAGGAGATTTCTATGACCACTCTGCAATTTTTTTATTTATTTTTTAACAGTGCATGAGAATTCCAATCAATAACCACCACAATATAAACACTTACGGGTAGGACCACATCACTCTGCAGAACAATCCCATGGAATACAGCACGCAATCACCACTCAGACGGTGTACACAATCACAAAGCAGGGAAGCACAGCCCTCGGATTAAAAACCAACAGCTCATTCTCTTCATCCAGCCTTGTCTGAACCCCACGTCCCCGACCCACCAACGAGTCCAACCCGGGTTCATCCTTGTCCACAATATCCGGGTCACAACCGATCCGACCCGCTATGACACGGCACATCAGCATGGCTCTCTTCACGTGCATGAACTTTAACTCCTCCTCGATCTCTTCTGGGATCGAAACGTGTGCCCTCCAACTAGTAGATAGCGTGGAAATTCCATTCATCTTGGGTGAGAATCCACCTCTGATAATCCCACAAACACTACAGCACTGGTTACTGCATAAGCTAGAATTACCATTTTGCCCCAGATCACACAGAAACGTGGCACAGTGAAGCCTCAAGAGCTCATTCCCGTCGGCGATGCACCTCTCGTCATATCTCTGTACGGCGACGTTTCGTGAGGCTTTTGATATTACGCAGTCTCTGTACTCTTCAAACCTAGTTAATATTGTCGGGCAGTTGTGGATCTTGAGGATCCGATGTATAATCGGGTTCTTTGCTTTATCGGGCCAACCTGTTTTGAATATGATCCGGACTATGTTCTTACCCGAATCTCCGTCGATTAGTTCAGAAACAGCGTGCTTTATAGATTGGTGTTGTTCAAGAAGATTAGATGTTTGGCAGATTTCGCCGCAAATGGGACATGGATAGATGTCGTTTCGGAGAGGGAGGAAGTGTTGATCGGCGGAGATATTGGATTCGGGGTGAGATAGAACGGTTCTTTTGCGTGAAGGATCCGAAACTAGAGTTTCGAGAGCTACGACAATGGAAGAATGTTGAAAGGATCTGGTGGAGGAGGATGGTGATAGAAGGGACGAATTCGGGTGGGTTGTGGTGATGGGTGTGGTGGGTTTAGAGGAGAAGATCCGTTTGAGGAAGGACCAAGAGGATGAGAGAACTTTGTTGGGTTTAAGTTTGTTGAGAGTCTTGAGACTAGAAGAGGAGGGAGAGAAGTGTAGATAGAGAGGAGAGACTTTTCTTTTTTTGAATTGGTGGTGATGATGGTGGTTGGGGGTGAAGATGCAGCAACCACTGTGGAGGAGGAAAAGAGAGAGGAAGTTGGCGAAGAGTGGACGTAAGCTCGTCATTGTTATGGGGTTTCTTGACGCTTGAGGTCTGTTACTATAATGAACAATGAACAAGTGTAGAGATAGATTAGTGTGCTGGAGAGAGAAAGGGGAGGAGATGGGATGAATGATGAAGAAAAAAGGTAAGCCGGAGAATAGAAGTATGGAAAGGACAGAGTGGTGGGGACGTGGAAGAATAAAGCAATAAGCCGATTGACAACTTCACGGCATCTTTGTCTCCCAGAATATATATATATATATATATATATATATATATATATGTATATATATATATATATATATACACACATTCATAAAAAAATATTATTTGAATCTAAAAATTTATTAATTTAATGACGTGATTTTATTAAAATTATTAAATGTTTGACACAGTCCACAATCAATTCAAAAATTATAATAAATTACGTCAGTAAATTAAGTCATAAATTAGATCTCAATAATATTTTTTTTCGCCATTACAAGAAAACTTAATTAGGAAAGTTATTAAAATGTCAAAAGTAACTCAAATGATAACACGAATGAACTATTAATTTAGATTTCTTGTATTTAAATCTTAACAATCTCTTGAGGTTTGATCGCGAGGATTAATCCCTCATCAATATTTTAGTTTATTTTTGACCGAGTTGGAGAGTGAATTAGACGAGATACTCGTAAATTGGGGTTTTTTTACTGTTAAACCAAAAAACGAAAAAAGTAACGGGGGAAATTTAGGCAGCCAATTTTACACTTGCATTTTCTATCTTTTCTTTCATTTTAATTTTCACTTAATTGCTCATAATGGAAGATTAAATTCACCTGTATGCAAGATCAAGGACGTTTGTGAAAAAAAAGGCAAGAACACAAAAAAAAAAAGTCACTTTTTTACTGTGATGTTCTTGCATAACTGTCGGTGCCACAGATAAAATTTGTGGCAGTTGAAGTCTAAAATATATATATATTTTTTTCAGCAAACAAATTCGCGTCTGTGCGTGGCTCCGAGCATGTGGAATAGATATCTCGTGTCCAAATGTCAGCCTTTGTAATTAAATATTTATCAAAATTGACGGCGTTAACACACTTTTATAAAAGATAGGCGGGGATTTCGTTAGGTTGTTATAATGATGAAATAATATCCAGAATTTTAGAAGTTAAGATTATAGAATTATAGTGGTTCACCAGCTTGGGAGTTCGGCTAGTCCACTTTAGAATGAAGATTCTTGCTCATTTTGTTTCATTTACGGTGATTAAAAGGTTGTTATGACTTCTTTGTACCACTAGGGTTCCTCCCTCTGTTAGGAGGTGTTGCATTGCATTTATAGGGTCATTCTCTGCTAAGTGAGATCCTGGCTGAGATTTTTGCCCTTACTTCATGGGGTTCTCCCTAATTTTAGGAGAAGATCTTGGTTGGGTGAGATTAGGTGCCTTGAATATAGCTTCCTAACGCTTTAGGAATCTCTCGTGATTATTCAGCTGTTGTCTTGGTTGTCATTGTCATTGCTTATCTCGAGGGGACCTCCAGCTCTACTCTTCCGAGTTCTGATTAGGTGCTTGCCTAATCTGACCTCCTGAGCTGGCAATTGGGATTTATTTTGAGGTATCATCAGTTGCCCCCCAGCCCTTGGCCCAAGCGAGCTTGGGCATGGGCTGAGCTCCTTTCACCTTGGACCAGACCTGCGCCTAGTTGACCTTAGTCTGCATGTGAGATGCACGTGGGAGGGACTTTTTGACAGTTACAGCAATCATGGCTCCCTTGGTTCTCGCGCACGCCTCATCCATGTGTTTCAAGCCTTAAATGCTCAAACGACTAAAAAAAAATCGCACAAAACCACCGTTTATCTTCTACATTGTTCACCTTCATCTCTGGTTCTTTCTCTCTACGACTTTTGGACTTTCCTCCACGCGATTCTCTTATTCTTTGCTCAAGACTGTGCTTTCTGGGTTCGACTCGAAATCCTGCTTTGCTCTTCTCCTCCAATTTTGTCCTTTGGTTGCTGTTTGTTGTTTTTTTCCCTGTCTAGGTATGCTTCCTTCTGCCCCTTTCTCTTTCTCTTGCCTTTCCTCACTCTGGATCCCTCGTCTTTGAGGTGGCCATTATTTTTCTGGATTTTTTGATTCTTTTTCTTTTGGAATCGTGATCGTTGCCTATCTCCTCTTCCCCGCTTTGTGGATTGGAACTCTACTGTGCGAATTCTTACTGTTGGGAGGTACAATGCTGATCCTAGGATTATCAGGGAGTGTTTAGTTAATATTCCTCATTTTTATCATTCTTTCAACTTGGCCGTTGGAGCTTTGTCCGAAGCTGAGGTGCCTGCCTCCTTGCCTGCTCTTAGCCCTCCTAAGACTTCAACTGCTTCATTGCCAGTAAGGTCGCCTACTGAGCTAGGGAGCCTTTTTTCAGTTCCTTCTGTTGAGACTTTAGCTACTGCACTGCTAGGCCCTTCGCCTACTCTTCCTTCGAAAACTTAAGATGTTGGGATGTAGAGAAATTTTGTTGTAGCTTTGGGCTAATTATCTCAGAATTGTAACATTTTGAAATGGAATTTGAAACAAAAATGTCAGAATTGTTACATTTTGTGTTTAATTTACAGCTTATAGCTCTCCTTTCCATTTGCTTTCCAACTTGTTGCTTTATTCTACCATCTATCAAATATGATATTCTTCAATTCTTCCCCCCTTCCTTCAGGGGGTCATTCAGATCTCCTTGAAGTAGACAAGTTAGGAATACTTGTTGATGCGCCTAGCTGAGCTTCCAGCTTCTCAACCTGTTTCTGCCCGAACTCTAGCAACTAACCTCCAGAGCTCTGGCCTTACTTCATCCTCAAAGTTAGGATATGAAGCAATTTTTTTTTTTTTAATTTATCAACTCATGGTTGTAACAATTTTAGATTAGAATGCAACTATGTAATTTCGACTGCGTAATTCCCCTTAGATTAGAATGCAATCTTCTCAACTATTATCAAGTGTAACCTTCTCAATTCTCTCTCTTTCCCCTCTTTGCTTCAAATAGGTCATTCAGACCTTTTGGAGAAAATGGTTAAGAAGTTTGCATGGTCAGTCCAGTGTACACAGCGGGGGTCTAACTTTTTGCTTTTGGAATATAAGACAATGAGTACCTGAAGTCTTACCCTTAAGGGGGCTCCCATATGCTGACCTGCACAGCTGATCTTGACAGACAAATGGGATATTGGGTCAATTTGTCACATTGGTGTGGCAGATCCAGAGGTCAAGATTTATTATGTTTGATAGAAGTAGACCTTTCCCTATTGTCTCAGGGTGATGGTTCATCATTTTCATGCGTAGCAAACTGGCTAGGTGCTGACTTATTGTCAGGGCTACATAACCACCGAGCTCTACGCAGCTCAGGGTGAGGGTTTATCCTTTTGGCAAGCCTTAGGGGACATGCGCACGTGTAGCCATTGGTCAGGTTGTTTTCCCTATTTGCGAGTTCAGCCATTTTGATTAAGCGAGGTGGAGAGCATGCTACCATGTTCTGTTCTCTGGTGCTGACGTTCCAAGCTTTGGGTTGGTTATGGCCCCTTGGCAAGGCGAAAACCTAGAAGAGCATGCCTAGATGCAACTGCTTGGGTGCATTGATTTCCTTATTTTTGACCTGGTGAGCTCCCGACGTGCAAGGGTTTGTTTTGACCTTTTTTTTTTTTTTTTTTTTTTTATGTTCAGGACTCCTTTGGAGGCCTGCTTGTTTTATCTCAGGTTGTCATTGGTGTCTGCTTTCGATGCATAGCCTTCCTACCAAAAAGGTTCATACTTCCTTAATTTAGAAACCTAGAGATCCACCGACTTAAGGTTTCGTGTAATTAACAACTTCCTAAAAATCTGGGGTCTTCAAAGAATTTCTATAAGTACTGGTTATCGCCTCCCTCCAGGTTCCCTTTGTTATTATTGAGGGCTTAATGCCTTCTATTTCCTTCTCTTCTTTTTTTCACTTGAATCCACTATGTCTGCCCCCTTTTCTTCTCTGTTTCAAGAGTAAACCTCCTTTGGGGTTGAGTGGATGTAACATACTCGCTACTTTGTTCCCTCAGTGGTGACGTCCTCTGATTTAGAGAGGATAAGGAATTTTTTTTTCTTAATTTGGAGTTACCTCTACGTGCTCCAAGCTCTGATGAACCCTGTAATTACCTTCCTCCTAGGGAGACGTGCTTCATTGAAATGGCTTTGGGGTTAGGTTTGCGCCTTTCCATTCACCCTTTTATTGGATTTATTTTGGCTTATATCGGCTTGTGTCCCTCTCGTCTTTCACCTATGGGATGGGCTATCATGACCAGTTTCTTCCTCTTCTGGTAACTGCGAGGTAATGACGAGTTTCCTACAGTTGTAGAATTTCTTTACTATTTTGACCTTGAGGAGGATGAAGTTTCATGCTTCGTCTGCTTTCGGTGGAGAGACTTCAGGCTACGTCGCTTAGTGTTTGATCTCCCCTCTCCTCCTTCGGGATGGACCCAACGCTTCTTCTTTGTTTCTAGTGACTCGTGGAGATCTTCCGAGGTGGGCACTAGGGAGTGTAGAGTTCCTCGATCTTAGAAGAGCTATTCTTACCCAAGTGAGAGTAACGAGGGTCTCTCTCTTGGGATCAAATTTTTATGATGCTATTTGTGTATCTTGTTTTTTGGTGTGCAGGTGTTCTTGACCTGAACTTGCTTGAATTGATGAGGATAGAGCTAATGACCCAAGCTGAGCCCATGTCCTTTTCTAAGCTCATGATATCAGACAATCTGTTCTTGTTTAGTGCTGCTGCAGCTGAACGAGTCTTTCCTTTTTTTTCTGAACCCGATTCTTTTTCTTCAGAGTCTGATAAAAGCAAATATACTGGAGCTCCTTCGAAGAGGCGCAAGAGCGATGAATCTTCCTCCCCTACATCTAACTCTGGCCTGGGGGAAGTTCTGTTTTCCTCTGCTGGGCAAAAATTGATGGATCTACTGTCAGCGACTGAGAAGGAGAGGGACGAGCTGAAGGAGGAGAACCTGCGTTTGAAATAGAGGATAGCCGAACTGCAGAGACGACTAGGAATTTTGCTTTGATTATTTTTGAAACCTTGATTCTCCCTTTCCATGTTTGTCGCTTCTTATACACAATTTGTGGCTTTGAGAATCTGGTAGCTGATCTTTCCATGTCGTTTCCTGGCTTGTAGACCAAAGACCCCCATTTTT